CTGCTGGGTTTCCTTAGACAGAAAAACTTTTTATCCAATTTGAATAAATAACTGAATCTGACTGCACTGTTCAATGATTAGGATTAATTGGAATGTATGTACCTGACTTTTGTGAAGTGCCTTGAGAAGACGTGTTGTGAATTGGCGCTATATAAATAAACTGAATTGAATTGAATTGAATTAAACGTCCCATTAGACAGACTTTTTTCCTACTGCCTTTTTTATTGTTGTAAAAGTAAAACATAATTCTACATGCTTCCCTTAGCGTGTAGTTTAAAACCAAACATAACTTTTTTGTTTAAATTAAAACTTTCTGAGATATTGTGACAATATTTTTAGTACAGCATATTCTGCATTTTAAATTAAATTTTGTTTCATTTTCCTTTCCTTATCTTGGTTTCACTATGGTTACAAACAACTTCTATAGACCTTTTTTTTTGTGCATTTGAATGCAAGATGGATGGTAACAGCAGTCTCTATTTGTAATCCTACAGAATATAAACCCTAACCTTAACTCTAAGGTTTCCAAATTTGTTGATGTTTCCAAATCCAACTATGATAGACAGAGGTTAAAAGCTCAAAGGGATAAAGGGGAACAACTTTGCTATTATCTGCTCAGCCTTCCTGTTATATACTGAAATTCTTGCTCTCTTCCATTCTCTTGCAGCCTGAATGAACACCAAAAATATCATAGAAAACACAGTTTTCTTTAAATAGTTTTTTCAACTATTTATACATTATACACCTAATTCATTCAACAGCTAAATTCCAGTCTTCCTTTTCTATTGCTTGCGCAAGAGTGCTGTGGTTTTACATATGGTGCATTTACTGATTTGTTATTGGATTTTCCGAGGTACTGGTCAGCGGTCAGTGCTGGTCAAGCTGCAAATTGTCCAGTTCTGGTCCAAAGAGGATTTCTTGCATCCCTGCTTAAAATACATTTAGTAGACACGTGGAATTGGCCCCCTGGTTAGATGCATTTTCAAGATTACCTGTTACAAAGGGACAAGCAGCAGAAGCAAGCATGTTAATGCAACAAAGCTTTATGCACACAAAAAGAAAACACTGAATCTAAGGGCGCATTTTTTGCGCAATTTCTTCTGCACCTTTTAACCAGACGCTTGATGAGGAATTCTATTAGTAATAATTTGTAATTCTGCAGGCAAGCTGCTCCTTGAGGAGCTTGCCTGCTCCTTACTCCTTAGAGAAGAAGATAAACTGAGACTGTTACAGGTAGAACATCACAAGAGAGAACATTATAATAAAGTAAAATATTTTTAAATGTTTCTTTCCAAAGAGATGATTTACCTGATGTCCAACAAATACTTGGTCCCAAGATAAAGAATCACAAAACTAAACACAGAACAGAAAGTGAGCAGCTTGGTTCCCCTTCAGTGACGATTTTGTTGAAGAGCTGGTATTTTGTGTTTCTCTTTGAGATAATCCACTCAGAAAAGCTGAAAAGCTGAGAATTTGCAGCTTGCCTCTGTACTCTGTTCCTCTGTCACATGGATCTTTTACAGGAATAAGATGTAAAAGGCCAGAAATGCCCCCATAATGTTGAATGCTCAAATGGAAGACAAAGATGTTTGAAGGGGCTTGACAAAGAGAACTATAACAACACAGGGAATTTTTCAGTTTGAATTGGGACAGCATAAAGGCGCCTTTAAATTGGACTAAAATTGAGCTCAGAAATGAACTCTTGTTATAAATTATTTTGAGGTTTTCTGTCCCCTGAGCTCAGAAAATCAGCTGGCATGAGACAGAGAGACGGTGAGAGCAGAGCTGGGAGAAAATGTGATTACAGTCCAACCCAAAATAAAACTAGAGTTCCGATTTACACAATAACACTGTGAGGTTGTAAGTGTTTTTTTAAGCTGTTTTCTGTGATTACCTTTGAACACCCTTGTGTCAATTATAGTGTAGTAGAGCTCACTTCAACATCCTCAATTTATATAAGTGGGGCCATGAACAATGAGGGGAATCACCAAACCCCTAAAACTGATAGTGATGCTATTTGGTAGAGAAGATATAAAAATGTCCTAAGATCCCATTCTGTTGATATGAACCGAACAATATAATATAGATATTTGCTGCTTGTCTTTTTCTACACAAAAATAAAAGTGCAGTACATACCTTGGCTTTCAAGTCTGGGTTCGATATGTTATGTTTTCTGTACGTTCCAGTCAATAGAAATAGGTAAGTTGAATGTAAGTACAATGAAAGTTAAAATACTCTGACAATATTGCATTATTGTACTTATATTGATAATATTTGATTCTTGTCAATATTATCTAACATTTTAAAAAGAGGTCAGGACAGAACTGACTGAAGATTTGACTTGATTTTGTCAATTAATTAAGGATAAGACGGAATAGACAATGAATGGATAAACAGATAATACAACAATAAAACACCTTCTAAATGTCAATTTTGCTGTCTAAGAATTTTCAGAATTGTAAGCCTATTTCTATTTCCTGAAAAAAAATGGACGTTACTTTGGAGTTTTTTCATATTTTGACAATCCAGTGTGCAAGTTGTAATTTAATGCACTATAGAAGCATGCTGTTGGGAAAAGCCTGTAGTCCAACAGCTCCCTTTAAAAGATCGCATGTCTGTTGCTAGAAAAGACTTTCACTGCATTTGGTGTTGGTTGAAAGGCACAGCAGGATTTGGACTTTAGTCTATTTTTCTCTGCACCCTTTGCATTTAGTTTGACATGATTAATTAAGTAGCCAAGAGCTACATACCTTATCGCTGTTGAAAAACGCTTATATGAAGCATTCGGTCTACTCATTTTCATCCATGATCACTGGAGCTCAAGGAGAAACCTTAATGTTCTCAAAAAACTGACTTAAGTTAAAGCTAGGAGCTCTGTTCTGTTTTGGTTCCATTCCTCAGACTTGCGTGTCACAGAGTACAGTTGCTCACCTTAGTTCTGTTTTTTATTTTTTTATTTTTTTTGGCACAAGAAAGAAGGTGAAGAAAAAATGGGAAGACATGCAGCAAATGGCCCAAGATCAGGAATTGAACCCAAGACAAATGCATCAATGACTATAGCCTCTGCGCATGGTGCGCCTGCTCTACCAACTGAGCTACCCTGAGAAAAAAGAATATATATATATATATATATATACACACACACAGGGGTTGGACAATGAAACTGAAACACCTGATTTTAGACCACAATAATTTATTAGTATGGTGTAGGGCCTCCTTTTGCGGCCAATACAGCGTCAATTCGTCTTGGGAATGACATATACAAGTCCT